GATTAAAGGGTTGGGGTCTGTTTTGGGGGGGTTTGAATGGTTTTTTTTGGTTTTTGGGGGGGTTCCTGTACTCACCTTGCCCAACCTGGGCCAGTAGTCGGGGGACCCCTCCCGGCCCCGCAGGCTGGGGGGCACGAACCAGAAGCAGAGGTTGATGAATTCTGGCTGGGGGGGGGGCAAGGAGGAAGAGGAAGAGGAAGAGGAGGAAGAAAGGGATCACAGCCCCCCCCTTCCCCCCTCCCCCGAGCCCTAAAACCTCGGGGGGGGGGCACTGGTTTGACCCCCATCACCATTTCGGGGCCACTCTGGAGTTTAAATCTCAAGGGAGGTGCTTTTTGCTAAAGGGGGGGCACCAATTTGCCCCCCACCCCCCTATTTCAGGACCACTCTGGGGTTTAAACCCCAGGGGAGGTGCTTTTTGCTAAAGGGGGGGCATCAATTTGCCCCCCACCCCCCCATTTCAGGACCACTCTGGGGTTCAAACCTCAGGGGAGGTGTTTTCTGCTCCTGGGGGGGCACCAATTTGCCCCCACACCCCCTCTTTGGGACCACTCTGGGGGTTTAAACCGCAGGGGAGGTGCTTTTTGCTAAAGGGGGGGCACCAATTTGCCCCCCACCCCCCCATTTTGGGACCATCCCAGGGGTTTAAACCCCAGGGGAGGTGTTTTTTGCTAAAGGGGGGGCACCAATTTGCCCCCCACCCCCCCATTTTGGGACCATCCCAGGGGTTTAAACCCCAGGGGAGGTGTTTTTTGCTAAAGGGGGGGCACCAATTTGCCCCCCACCCCCCCATTTTGGGACCATCCCAGGGGTTTAAACCCCAGGGGAGGTGTTTTTTGCTAAAGGGGGGGCACCAATTTGCCCCCCACCCCCCCATTTTGGGACCATCCCAGGGGTTTAAACCCCAGGGGAGGTGTTTTTTGCTAAAGGGGGGGCACCAATTTGCCCCCCACCCCCCCATTTTGGGACCATCCCAGGGGTTTAAACCCCAGGGGAGGTGTTTTTTGCTAAAGGGGGGGCACCAATTTGCCCCCCACCCCCCCATTTTGGGACCATCCCAGGGGTTTAAACCCCAGGGGAGGTGTTTTTTGCTAAAGGGGGGGCACCAATTTGCCCCCCACCCCCCCATTTTGGGACCATCCCAGGGGTTTAAACCCCAGGGGAGGTGTTTTTTGCTAAAGGGGGGGCACCAATTTGCCCCCCACCCCCCCATTTTGGGACCATCCCAGGGGTTTAAACCCCAGGGGAGGTGTTTTTTGCTAAAGGGGGGGCACCAATTTGCCCCCCACCCCCCCATTTTGGGACCATCCCAGGGGTTTAAACCCCAGGGGAGGTGTTTTTTGCTAAAGGGGGGGCACCAATTTGCCCCCCACCCCCCCATTTTGGGACCATCCCAGGGGTTTAAACCCCAGGGGAGGTGTTTTTTGCTAAAGGGGGGGCACCAATTTGCCCCACCCCCCCCCCCTCCCCAGCAGCCCCCAGCCCTACCTCCACCACCAGCTGGAAGCCCTCCCTCCTCTTCACCTCCTGCGCCAGGTACCTTGGGGAGGAAGAAGAGGAAGAAAAGACGAAGCCCTGTGAGTCTGGGGGGGGGGGTCACAACCTCGGGTGTCCCCCCCCCCGGTCCTGGGGGCTCACTGGGTGATGGTGAAGGCTCTTTCCACACGTTGGGCCAGTCCCTGGGTGCCCAGGGCTTTCCAGAGGAGCCAGAGTTTGAGACAATCCACCCTGCGCCCGCACTGGGGGGTCTTGTCCCCCGTGTCGTAGGTGACGTCGTAAAACTTATCAGGTTGGAAAAGGTAAGTGGCCCCCGCCCCGTGACAGCGCTGGAGGAGACCCTGGAGGAAGAGGAGGAAGAGAAAATGTGGGGCAGCCCCATATTTAGGGGGTTGGGGGGTCAAAAATAAGGGGTGGTGGGACCTACGGAGGCGTCGCGGAGGAGGAAGGCCGAGCACTGCAACCCCACCGCCAGCATCTTGTGGGGGTTCCAGGCCACCGAGTCGGCCCTGAAAGAGAAAGGTTTGGGTTTTTTGTTGTTTTTTTATTTTGGGGGGGGTCCCCAATCCTGAAATGGGAAGTTTTGAGCCCGTTTTGGGGGGTTGTTCACCTCTCGATGCCGGCCAGGAGGTGCCGGTGTTTTGGGGAGAGGAGGGCGCTGCCGCCCCAGGCTGCCTGGAAGGGGAGAGGAGAGGGGGATGGAGATGTGGGGGACACACACACACACACACACAGCCTGGGGGGGTCCCCAGGGGACACGTGTGAGGTTGTGTCCCCCCCCTGAAGCCCCAGTGACTCACGTCCACGTGGAACCAGAGGCCGTGGCGCTGGCAGACGTCGGCGATGGCGCCCAGGGGGTCGAAGGCGCCCAGGACCGTGGTGCCGCAGGTGGCACAGACAAAAAAGGGCTCGGAGCCCTGGGGGGGACAGGGGACAGGGGGATGGGGACAGGGATGGGGTCAGGGGACAGGGGGATGGGGACAGGAGAAAATGGCAGGGGACAGGGGGATGGGGACAGGGAACAAGGGACAGTGGGATATGGCAGGGGGCAGGGAGAGGGGACATTGGGATGGGGCAGGGGACACAGATGGGGACACTGGGATGGGGCAGGGGACAGGGGACACTGGGATGGGTCAGGGGGGAAGGG